TCTCACCTGTGAAACAACTGCTGCTTCTGTCTCAACTGCTTGCTAACCATTTCTGTCGAGAACCCATCTACACTGGCCTTTTTTTTTTCTTTTTTTCTTGAATAGTCTGAAATATCTCAGGCTTATTGTCTTATGACACAGTCTTCTTCACTGGACTTGTCAGAAGCACTGAAGTATACAAAATCATGCTCTGGGATTTCAGGAGGATTACATACTCTATTTTTAATATAAAAAAATTACAATTCAGTTGGTTATATAAACAAGGAAGAAAAGTGTACCAGTATAGTATTGCAAGTAATGTTCTCAGAAAAGCAGAAAGGAGAAATTTCTGCCACATAAGCCAGAAAAGAAAATAATTTTATAGTTAAAGTTTTCCAAATATATTATGAATAACAACAACATTTAAATGCGGTACGCATAAGTCACCAGGCTGAGTATATGGAAAACAAAAAGTGGAATTCCACCTGTCTCTGCATGACATTGACCAAACTGTTAACACTGAGAGGGTAAATGCAAAAAGGTAGTGGTTCAGATGCTGCCAGATAGTTTCATGCAGGCCTACTGAAGTTGCAAACCTAAGTAAGTTTGTAAATTCACATAAAATATCCACCTGAAATCAAAGTAAGCCTTCACAACAAATTAAATAGATTATTGGACAATGTGGATTACTGTTTTACAGTAAAATGGACCATTTTCTCTTTGTGCCATATACTTCAGGAAGTTCAGTCGCATGGGCTAGTAACTAAGGTAGGTATTAATGAAAAAAATAATGAAAAACACTATTTTGGGGAGTAAAGATTTTTCTAGTTTGGAAACTGATATTGCCAGTTCTTACCAGAACTGAGGCTAGAAACTAAAAACAATGTGCACAGTTTTAATATCTTATAAGGAAATGTGTCACATTTTTCATCACATTTGCTTTTTCAGAATTAGAAAATAAAAGCACATTGTGTTAAAAAAACTGTGTACTGCATTAGGCAGCTGGAATTAAATGTAGAATTTTTCTGTATATAATAGACAGCATAAGTGGATTGTTCATAGTCTGCACTTCTGAGGAAAAGGCCTTCTTGGCAACTGGTTTTTTGGGAATAGTCATTGATTTTGAATTATTCCATCATTTTTAATTGATGAATTATAATGGATTTTCACAATATACTGACCTTTTTATATGAAACAGATGCAGTTTTAGATTCAAATATTGTATAAACAAATCAACACAAGTTATGATAGCAAATGCAATTGTATCTGACAGACAAGCATATGATTCTTTTTGTTAGTTATACTGCAAAAAAATTCAAATTTGCATGTCAGTGGGATTGAGCGAAACCAACAAGTCCAAAACAATTACTATACTCTTGCAGGATTTTATACTATTAAAATAGGGAAGTTGGAGGAAAGTAGAATTAATTTAACAATACCAAAATGCTTTTTACGGGGATTTTAATTGTGTCTAAGATTCCATAATAACGTAAGAAATCACAAGATTGAATAAATAATACTTTTCATTTTAAAAAAGCTTTGATACTAGTTGCAAAATACCATCAATCTTCCCTTTGCAGTCCTGGTTTGGACTCCCCCCCAAGAAATGGCACATTAAAGATGGTTGGAAACATTCAACCAAAAAAGGAACATGGTTTTTGTAAGAAAAGTTTTGGGGTTTTTGACCAGCTCTAGTTAACATTCATTGCAGATGCAATATTTTCAAAGCTGTTTCCTGAAAAGAGAGACTATTCACCAACACTGTGATAGACAATTGCATTTTGTTTCAATAAAGCAAATGTAAATACTGGAAAAAAGCCACAGTTATAACACTTCAAGAAATTTGGGATACATGTAATATAATAACACAGTTTCCACCACAAAAATTTGTAGAATAACTTAGTTCGGAAAAAGCCCCCTGAGGCCCAACCATCCCTCTGCTCAAAACAGGTTCAATTAGTTCAGTCTGCTTGGGAACATGTTCAGCTAAGTTTCAACTCTCTCCAAGGACAGAGATTCCACAAAGATTGCTTCAAGATTTCACAGCCCTGTGGATAGGACAACGGATTGAGACTCTAAATCCATTTCCAGTTGTGTTAAATTCCTTGTTACAGGAGTTTAAGAGTTACATACTCTCATATGTGACCTTGGATGATTAAGTTTCTCCACCTGCAAGCCTAGAATTATTCAAAACTCCTGCCTAATTATATTATTGCATTATAACCACAATAAATATTATTGTATATAGACAAAAATGTTTATTATTGTATATAGAAAAAAATTGTCTAAGTAACAATATATTCAAAGGTGCTATCACTGCAAAGTAAATGTTTTCAAGTCCTTGGATGTCACCATGAGAAGAATGAAGCTAAAGAAATAGGGCATTTTACATAAAGCAGCAGACTATACTTTAAACTCTTACAGCAGCCTCTAGACATTGAGGCCTAAACTATTTGTATCTTCAGCTCTTAGCTCTTTTACTGGTGACTTTATTCAAAATGCACAGTTCTCACCCAACATTGGCATCCTTTTAGTTATGTTTTCAGGGTTTAAGTTAATGACCAGAGTAGTTTCATTTTGGTAACCTTAGTATCAGATTTTTATGAAAATGATCCATCTTTATTCTTCCATATTAAACTGCAGGTATTGTCTTTCTGCCCAGAATACCAAATCTTTGCATGATGTTCTCATCAGGAGTAGTGCATGTAGTGACTGATTCCTACATGTATGATGAACAGCCTTTGCTTAGAAACTCAGAAGATAATTCATGCTCTTGAGGACATAGCCATTTTTTATGCTGTTTATGATAATTTACATTCTGCCTAATAAATAGTTTCATACACAATGTATCTGTATGGGATATCAACTATATCATTCCTCTCATCAGCACCACTTAGAACTATGCAGGTGAAAAATCCAAAATAGAGAGATCCCAGTTTCAGTCACTTTTGCTTCTGATGGCATTTTGTTTAAAGATATTTCCTTGAATTTCTTGATGTATCATCTGAATCCTTTTTTTCCAGATACATTTGAATCACCATAAATTTGCAACATCGTGATCTATAAACTAGATATTACAGTACCCAACTGGAGTAAATTGAGTTTAGTTCACCTGTCACAAGTGTATCTCATTTCAAATAGCACCCAACTGAGTTCTCAAGGTACATGTAGCTCTCCACCTACAGCATTTGAGACTGTGACATCTGAAATCATAGAGCTTTTAGGTTAAGAATGTCACAATCTTTGAAGTCCTGTAGATGCTGCATTTCTTTCTGAATGTCATTGCATATGGCTTTCTCACATCCCATATCCCCATTTGGGCTGTGACCACTCAAGGAATGATAGTCAGATGTCTGAAATGGGGGATTTTTCCAAAATGAAGCAAAAAACATGATACATCATTTAAAAACTCCCAGGAGTGGGACCACGAGATTGCTACATTGCCAGCTCTTCCTCAGCACTCTTGAACAAACCTACCGTGCTCAGTTTCTGACCTCTGACATTCAGATGCTAAACCATCCATAGCCTCCCAAGGCTTAGCATAGGATCTGAAAAGGCTTCCGCAGCCCTTCATTCGTAAATAATGAAACAGCACATTATTTACACTGGTTACATTTGCAGGATTTATTAACGTTGTACCCCGCATAGGCAGACTTGGATGCAGCGCAGAGATCTTTTTAGGATCCTGCGTGCACTGTCACCTGTTGCCGGCATCAGAAATGAAGGATGGCCCAGGGCTGGCCCTCAGAGACCCGAGGTCGGCACACCTACCCCGTAACGCCGCCGGGCGGGGGCCCGGCCACCGGCGTGTGACAGGACGAGGTGCCCAGGTGGGTTTTACCTGCCGGCAAAACGCCTCCACCACCCAGAGCCTCCGCGGGGAGCGGAGCCCTGCAGAGGAGCACAGGGGCCGGAGATGCAGGGAGCTCCTCCGGGGAACGGAGCCGGGCCGGGCGGGGCGGCGGCCGAGGTCGCACCTTGGCCCGGTGGGGCTTTCCTGGCCCGCACGGCGCGGTACTTTCCGCACACGGTTAACCTTTGCGTTACTCCCACTGCGCCCGGAGGGGTGGAAACTCCGGGCAGAAATCATTCGGGGAGGGCGGTAAAGCAGGGGAGGTGGTTTTGGGTAGTGAAGTTTTGCCGGCCGCACCAGGGGCAGCGCCGCGGGTTACGGAGGTGCTGACGGCGAGGGTCGCACAAGCAAGCAGCGGTGGGGTCACATGGAGCGAAGGCCGGCCCAGCCGGCGGAGCGGGGCGGAGCGGCTGCTACAGGGCCACGGCGGCGGGAGAGGTGCGGCGGGGGCCTTCGCCCGCCTCCCCGCCCGGGGGCAGCGGCCCTGCCAAGCTCGGGGAGCCGCGACCGAAGCCGCCGCCAAACAAAGGCGCGGGCGGGCGCAGTGACTTCACCGCCGGGCCCGCCCCCGCATTCCCGCCCGCGGAACCTGCCCCGCTGCCGTCTCCTGGCAACCTGCGGGGAGCTGCGGGCCCGGCGCGCACCCTCCGCGCTGGGGCCAGACAGCGCCGCGCAGCGCCGCCGGCCGCGGTCTCCGGCCCTCCCCTCCCCGTCCTCAGCAGACCCCGACCCCCGGCGCGGAGAGGCGGCCCCGGCGGCGGCTGGAGACGGCGGCGGGCAGCGCCCACCTGGCCCCGGCGGGGGCGGGCAGGGGGCGGCCGTCTCCGCCCCCCCCGGCAGCCGCCCTCTCCGCCCGAGGGAGGTACGGAGCCGCTGCCGCAGCTCCCCGCGGGGTGCCAGGAGCCTCCCCGCGCCCCCCCAGGCAGCGCGGGCGGCGAGGCGCCCCTGGCTCGCCGGGCTGGAGGCGGATGGAGGGAGCCAAGCTCCGCGCTCGGCCGGGGCCCCTCTGCCGCCGGGAGAGGGCCGGTCCTGGCGGGGCGCGGGGGCGCGGCAGGCGCTTTCCCCGAGATGCGGCGGCCCCCGCCCGCCCCTGCGAGCGCCCTACCTGTGCCGGGCCCGCCGCCGCCCCTCCCCCGGCCCCGCCGCCGCCGCCCCCGCGGGGGCCGGGACTGAGCGCGCCGCGGCGCCGAGATACGGCCCCGTGAAGAGGGAGCGGGAGCAGTGCCGGCCGCGGCGCATGATGTGGGTGCCGCTGCTGGCGTGGCTCACCGCGGGGATCGTCTCCGTGCCCAGGTGCCAGCGCGGCCCCGGAGCCTTCCTTGGGGCGGCCTGGCTGCTGGCGGCCGTGCCGGGACTCTGCCAGCGCTGTAAGTGTCCGAGCGCCTGGGGCTGCTCGCCGTGCCCCGGCTGGTTGGGGCTGTGGCTGGGTTCGGTTCTGGCGCGGGGTCGTGCGGGGGCGGGCGGCTTGCCCGGGCCCGGCGGCTGCCTTGGGGCGCAGTGCTGACAGCTGGGACCGCCCGGCGCCACCGGCACTCGCCGGCCGGGCGGGCCGAGCTGGCGGGCGGACGGTACCTGCAGGGAGAGCCGGGCTGGAGCGGCTCCTGACCAAGCCTCGCACGGCCGGGGCCAGCCCGGGATTGAACTGCCCACGCCGGGAGCGTCCCGCCTTTAGGGAGCCGTGGTAGTTCCCGGGGAGCCGGCGGGACTATCGCACTCCAGGGTGCTGCGGGTCCTGCAGTGCACCCTCCGCGACACTCGGTGGAGCGGCACCCGCCCGGGGAACCGAGCTAGGGATGGACAGTTCTTGGGGATGGCAACACTTTGTTTTTACGTCGTTTATATGGCATGCCATGGCAGGGTTAAATAGGGATAGAGCTACGAGAAGATTGACTTCTGTTTACCTTGGGATAACGTGCATGTTGACAGTTCCCCGGGAGCTATGGTTCTCGGGTGAAAAAGGCTCTGGTAAATGTGGGTAACCCCTCGCGTTGTGGAATTGCTTCCCAAAGCCCCCAGCATAAGTTTTAATGTGTGCAGGCTGAGGGGGGTTTGTGCAAATGCACCTTAGATAGTGCAGCAGTTGACAGAGCAAGCAGGTTAGTCTAGTATTTCATAAAGGATCTTATTTAGCTAGCAGTGATCATAAAAGCAGATCTGATTGTCAATCATCTTTCTGTATGTTTTTCTGCTTGTGGAATAATTGGCATTTCCCAGCCTAAGCCTGGAGCTGATTTAAAATGTTAACATGTAGCCTCTGGAACTAAGATTTACAATGGGAACAATATATTAGTCTTAAGTTCTTCATTGCATATGTGACAAATTCATGCCTAATTCAGTAGGATTTGCCCAGTGCTATTAAAAACAATGGAATAATTTGTTAACTTTCATAGGATAATTTATTTTACTTTTTTGGCTTCGTACTTTGAATTCAGAACTAAACTAAATGTCAATAGGAAAAATAAAATATATTATTAAATTTCTTATGAAACATGACATCTTGTGTGTAGTATCCCAGATTTTTTTTTTTTATACAGTGCAATTGAGTTGAAAGGCTAATTGAAACTTTATGAAGAGGATGGTTCTATGCCTGAATGCAGTGTTGTGCTTGCTCATGAGTGTAGTTCCTGGGTACACACTAGTGCAAATAATGCATCAGAACAGAATGCCACGGGGGAGGTTGTGCATGGGGCTTTTGTGCCAAAAGATGCTTGCTGTCTTTGTTGTGCTTCATAGTGAAAATATATATGGGCAATGCGTCATGGGTTATGTGTTTATTGTGACAACAGCTCTCAGATTGGGCAGGCTGTAACTCACATAGACCTTGTTTTTTCCTTTTCATTTGAAACCTCTGCTAATTCATGAAAGCTGAAAGCACACTGAATTCTTTCCTTCATACATAATCACTTTACAGGCTACAGCCGCAGTTGAAGCAAGAAGAGTGTTTTGTTTTGTTTTTCTGTGAATGAACACGTGAAATTTTTTGTTATTATTAATGTTATTTGTGATTTTTTACATTTGGCTGTGGTAGCCAGTGCAGCACCACCTGGATTCTTTGAATGTCTGCAGGCTGCTTTGAGAGAGACTGGGCAGCAGCTCCATGTACAGATATTTGGCAGCGTGGCTTTGTTCAAGCAGCCACTCCTCTCTGCTTCTGCATCGACAGTGCTGGGCATGGAGAAAAGCATCGTGCTGTTCCTGTGCCATCAGCAAGTCCAGTTTATTTATGTGCAGAGTTGGCAGAACCTGCATATCTGTTGCACTGAATCTCCAGTTCTAAAAGAGACTGGAATTAATAGGAAATGTACATGGAACTGAAATTTATTTAATTCTTTTTGGAGCATTTGTGGCTCTTTAATTGAAAAATTGAGAGCTTTATACTACCTGAGGTATTTGTTCTGCAAACTGCGGTTTGAGATGAGAGTCATTGCTTGGGGATAAGTAAAGGTAGAATTTGGTGCAGGGTTTGAAGTTATAATGAGTGCAAAAGGAAATCTCACCATGCTGTAAATTTGCAATTCCCACATTACAGGTCCTGTAAGCTCAGATAAAAAGAGTAGTGTTGCTGCCTTCTACAAAGAGCCCCTTGTTCAATAAATCTCACCAAAAGGAAATTTGCAGTTCAGTAAGCCAATTATAACAAATACCTGACATAAGAATCAAGCTAGTTCTGTAGGGATTTCTACAGATCTGTGCATTTATGTTGGAGCATTAAATCTGACAAACTCCTAAAGGTGTAAACCAGTGAACTGAATAAAAGCTGGATTCTACAGCAAAAGCATGTGTATGCATTGTACTAACCAGTTGAGTAAGTGCTTATTTCAGTGAAAGTTCCCTTGCCTTGTTCAGAAACCAACTGCTGAAACTCTTATTTTTTACCTGCTGTATAAGCACAGGGGTTATGTGGGGTTCAAGTACTGAAGAATGACTGATTGGTCAGGGTTAATAGATGACATTAGTTCAAATCTCCACAGTGTCCCAAAACGAGTTATAATTAATATTAAAATATGAAAATGAAGGTATTTGGTGCTTTCCAAAATACCCAGGGAGTTATTCCTCTATGAAGCTCAAATAAACAGAGTGTACTTGTGATGTGCAAAGAGGAATGGGATGGAATGAAAATCTTTATGTCTGAACTAAAAGTTGGGGAACAGTCACACAGCAATTCTCTTAGATAATTGTGATTGACAGGTCTCTTTAATATACCAACTTTAAATGTTTGTATTTTCAGTCTTCTTGAGAGTGTGATTTGGAAAGACCACTGGGGAAAGTGGGGGATCGGTGATCATGAAGGGGTCAGTTGTTAATTGATTTATGCCAATTGCATGACTTCTGATTCATTAATTTTCTCCCATCAAGGTCTTTGGTGCTTCGCCAGTCTGGTCACATCCGATTTCCATGTGACCCCTCTAGTAAGAAAGTTTTATAAACCATTATTCGTGTTACTTCTCAAAGGAATAAGAAAAGCTATTCAAGCCACCCATGGAAGTTTTTGAAGAGAGGTGATCAAGAAATGTCTTATGGCACACACACAAGCACACAATAAAGTCTGAAATAAAAGATATATCATGATAGCTTTAATTGGCGTCTGTTAATTCTCTTGTGTACCCATGCGGCCCATTTTCTACTGGGTCTCAGTGGAAGAAGCTGTGTTATATGGAATACCCAACACTGAGCCAGTTTGGCATTTCCTGAGGCTTAAAACAATGCAAGAAGAAGAGAAGACCCATTTTCCATTTCCTGAGTCTGCCTGGGTGATCTGCTCCTGAGGGCTAATGGACCATCTTTGGGAAAGCCAACCTTTTGGAAACCAGCATTTGGGGAAAAACAACCTGGCAGTTTGAGCAGGCTGTAAGTTGTAGTTCTGAGGAATAGTGAGGGAGAGGTTTGTTTATGTGCACATTGCTCAAGGAGCATATTTTGCCAATGACATGAATACATTTGCTTTGCAAATTGTACATTTCTCATAATCGGTTGCAATTTCATGTCTCTGGGGGGCTTCTGTGGTAAGGTGTTTTTTTTTATTTTATGGTTTTTACAAGTTGAATGAAACTCATTGCATGTGTAGTGTTTACAATGTTTTCATGCTGCAGGTGTTTGAGATGAGGCTGGGGAAAGAGAGGAGAGGGGCAGTTTATGAACTAGAAGAGCAATAACCATTCTCTTGGTGCTCTGGAAAGGTTGCCTCTGTTAGTTTGGATATGCTGTTGCTGAGGAAAGTTGTCAAGGCAGTCTGAAGAGTGCATGCATCAGAAATACTCTCTACAGTTTGAAGAGACAGTTGCTTCTTTTTGGGCCTTTAAACTTTCAAGGACTGGAACTGCAACAACTGAGAAAAGAAAAATTAGACCCCATTAGTCAAGAGGCCTAAATGAATAAATTTGATTTTCCATACAATCTAAGTTTAATTTACTTCACTTCCCCAGACCATCGGAAAGATGTCAGAATGTGAACTTCATGGAAGCTAAAGAAAATATTCATTAAATGACCCCCATTCCACAAGCAGACATTAAAATGTCATATTATAACCACCCTTATACTTTATAGAGCACTTAAATACCGGTAATAGTTTTCAAATCCCTGTGAAGAATTTGTGATGACTTATCCATGTTGTGTCTTGAGTTTGGCACAATTAGAACTAATTACCATAGGAGAAGAAAAATGGAAGATATTTTATTTAGAAATTGTGTAAGTTGACATAGGCTGCTGATATTTATCAAGACTTTTTAATAACAGTTAACAGTTGGACCAGAGGATTTAAAGGATCTCTTCCAGCCTAAATGATGCTATGATTCAAGGAGGTACTCCTGTGCCTACATGTGCCTTTCTTACCCTCATCTCTGAAAAGTTGCCCCACTTATATGAAGGTGGAATCATTCAGGACAAAAACTCAAAGAGAAGCCTCAGACAGGTGCATATAAACTCAAGTTTTTCATGAGATATATTCAATGTAGAGGATTACTGGTGGACTTGGCAGTATTGGGTTGATCTTAGTGGTCCTTTCCAACCTAAATTAGTCTGATTCTATGCTATGATTGTGTGAATAGGTCTGATGTAAGGAACATTAACCTTAATTTATAAATTAAATCTGCATTACCTACATGATTTTTTTTCAACAATGTATATTTTAAAAACTGATTAGATAGGTGTATCTAAGGCAGTGATTGGGATTTAATGACTTCTGTCAGGGTAAGAAGAACAAGTGGAATAGCTTGGCGTTCTGACCTTTAAAGTTTGTTTAGTGTTCTTAAAATATATAAATGGCACTAAAGTCATATGTTATATTTTCAAAACTTATATATGTGAACTATTCAGAGCTTTTGCTGTAACTGGTAATCTAGACATCTTGGTATAAATTTGACTTCTCAAG